CTCTGCTGTTCACGGGGCACAGTGCGTCTCCTCTGCGTTCTTCTGAGAATCAGAGGAGATGATCACATGTAGACGTCCAGCACAGGGCCTTTCACAGGCCCGGCTGTCAGAAGGTGGTAATCCTCTTCCTCCAGAAGTCATTCATTCTGTAACATTTGCATGCGTTCTGTGTGAACTGTCCTGCTGGCTCCTGCCAGGGGTTTGGAGATAAACACAGGGTGAAACCTGCCTTTAACTGGCTGAGTAGCTACCTTGAGGGAAGAAATCCCCACAAAAACCAAATCAGCCTTAAGATCACTAGGTATCCAGTAATCAGTACAGCTAAACCAGGAGTGGATTTTGGTAATTAGGGAAGACTTCAGTGAGGAGGAGCCAACTGGGGTGTTTGATTAGAGAGGCCGGAAGAAAGAGGAGATGAGTATGAAGCGTTTGGAAAGACTGTCAAGGAGAAAACATGGTTAATTCGGTCTCCGAAGATCCCAAAAAGGGGATACTTTCCAACAATTGCAACTCTCTGCTCTGGGAGTGTTTTGCTTTCTGAGGCACTAAGAGAGCTGTGTTTTGAGAATCCTTTGGTTACAGTTTCAGGTGAACAGAAAACCACATCGATTAGCTTAACAACAACATAATGAAATGAAAACATATTAGAAGGATACAAATATTTCGTGGCATTCAAGTGCAGTCCAATTTCCCGAGTAGCTAACAGTAGGCGGGGGAAAGCCTCAGGAGCGTGGTCGGCGTCCGGGAGACACATGCTGTCGTGAGTGTGCCGGCTTATGAGGTGTCGCCTCTGTTCCTCCTCCAGGCTGGCTTCTGTCCCTGCACCCCTGTGCTTGCAGTGCCGGCTTACGAGGGTGTCGCCTCTGCCCTTCCTCTGGGCTGGCTCTGTCCCTGCACCCCTGTGCTTGCAGTGCCGGCTTACGAGGGTGTCGCCTCTGCCCTTCCTCTTGGCTGGCTCTGTCCCTGCACCCCTGTGCTTACACTTGTGCTGGCTGCCGCGTTTCCGTGTTTTCAGTTCAAATATGATTCCCCCACCAACGGAATCATATTTCTTAGTCTTCAGGCTAAAGATAGAGGAATGAAGACCTGATGGACCCGCTTGGGTAAGTCCAGTGAACCACTACCTAGTAGTGGGAGATGGGGTGCAGGGCCTTGCAGTAGAGCAGTGGCTGCTGAATGTCACCCTTGTGGTTGAGGCTGCTGTTCTCACAGGGGAGGATGGGCAGGTACCTTGGCTGCGGCCACGACAAACTCCCAGGCTTTGGAGGGTTTTGCCCAGAGGCCTCCTGGTCGCACTATAAAGGGAGCTCAGGTTTTAGGTGACGAGTTAGGATAGATGCATCCTTAGGTCGTCTTCAGATATTTTGATGCTGTTAGGTGGAACCCAAGTGAAATCTCATTCCTTTTTAAATTAAATATGAATAGCTGGCCAAGTGTGGTGGCTCACGCCTGTAATCCCTGCACTTTAGGAGGCTGCGGTGGGTGGATCATGAGGTCAGGAGTTCGAGACCATCCTGGCCAACATAGTGAAATCCCATCTCTGCTAAAAATACAAAAATTAGCTGGGCATGGTGATGCGCACCCATAGTCCCAGCTACTTGGGAGGCTGAGGCAGGAGAATCGCTTGAACCCGGGAGGCAGAGGTTGCAGTGAGCCAAGATCATGTCACTGCACTGCAGCCAGGTGACAGAGTAAGACTGTCTCAAAAAAAAAAAAAAAAAAAAAGCACAGCATACATTTTACCTTTTTAACCCTTTTTGAGTATAAAATTTAATGTCATTAGGTATATTCACTGTCCATTTCCAGGACATTTTCATCATCCCAAACTGTTAACTCTGAACCCTTTTAAGTAATAACCCTACATTCTCCCCCACCACTAGCCCTGGTAACACTGTTGTACTTTCTGTCTCTAAGAATTTGATTACTCTAAGTACTTCATATAAGTAGACTCATATATTTGCCCCTTTTTGTCTATTTTAACATAATGTTTTCAGGATTTGTCCATGTTGTAGCATGTAACTGAAATTTAATCCTTTTTATGGATGAATCGTACTTCATTGTATGTGTATACCACATTTCATTTATCTATTCGTCATTCATTTTCTACCTTTTGACTATTTTGAATAATGCTATCAGCCCCCACTCCCCCTTTTTTTTTTTTTTTTTGAGAATCAGGGTCTCACTCTGTCACCCAGGCTGGGTGCAGTGACTCAGTCATGGCTTACTGCAGCCCCGAACTCCTGGGCTCCAGTGATCTGCCTGCCTCAGCCTCCCAAAGTGCTGGGATCACAGGCGTCAGCCAACTTGCCTGATCCATTTTTAAAGTATAGATGAGATTGCTTAGAATCAAGAAATTGGTTAATAAAAAAGACCTTAATGAAAGGTGACTTAATCCAACTTCATTTCATAGAAGGGAAAACTGCCCAGCTGCAAAGAGTGAGCTGCAGGCGCCACATCCACCTGCTTTCAGCTCTTTTACCATTTCTCTGCCCCCTTGCCTAAAATTATGAGAGCTTTGGCGGTTTACACGGCAGCCTCGGTACAAGTCTTTAATCCTGAGGGACGTTGTAGACATACAGAATAGGAGATTTGGGTTGTGGAACCAGACCAGTGGCTCTGAGACGTTTTTGCTTGGGTTTTTTGTATGACTCATTTTCATCATGGTTTGGCTTTGGTCAGTCGAGATGCATGACCTGCATGACTGATAACAGTTAAGTGGTGAATAAAGGAGTGAAGAACTTAAAGTAATTGCCGACAGCAGCAGATCTCACACTTTTCAGTCTCAAAATATATTTTGAAAACCTTAAAGAACTTTAATTATGATTATGTCTGTAGGTACTTACCATATTAGAATTAAAATGGGCAGATCTTAAGATATTCATTAAAATATCTATAAACCCATTATGTTAACATAAATAACATATATTTATGAAAAGTAACTGCATTTAGGAAAATATGATTAGAAGAGAAGCACTGTTTTAGATTTTCACAGGTATCTTTAGTATCTGGCTTAGAAGATAGCTGATTGTCATGTTTACCTCTTCCCTCAGACTATGTGAGATGTTATGGTGGAAGTCCATGGAGAAGATCTGACCTCCCACAGATGTGCAGTTGGGAAGTTTTTCAGATGTTGATATTTTTCTTTGATACTACACCAAAACTCGACAAGTGGTAGTTTCCTAAGGGTTGGTTATTTGTGATGTGGTATCTGAAGCTGTGCCGTCCTCAGTTATGTTAGAATATTTTAGTTTATTTTGCACTTTAGGTGGATATTTTTACCCATATGTGATTTCATAGCATCATGGTCCACTGAGTTGTGTGGCTCTTCCAAATAAATGTCAACATATGACATGATGCAGTGTAAGTTACATAGATCACATTTGTTAATGTTTCACTGCTGATCTCATTAGAAAAGCCTCAAGTATTAGAAGGCAGTAAGTTCTTATGGGGTGGATACAAAGTTTCAAAAATTCTTCTTTTCACTTGGAATCCCCACTTTTATTCCTGGCCGCAAATGCTGTCAGTTGTTGACTTTGAAATGCTGAGCCCAAGTGCCTGTTCTTGAGAGCATGTTTGCCAAGGACTCCAGCCCAAGTCATTGCAGTTTGCCTGTCATTGGCTGTCTCAAGTAAAGATAGTGCTGGGTGTAGCAAGTGGCTTTGGGTGGCTGGCAACTCAGACACTCACAAGAGTGATTCTTTTCTAGATGGCCATCACGCTTCATGTGCAGAAGGCTTCCATGTGCTTCCCGTGCCATTCAATGGGATGTTCAAAAGGTGTGTCTTCAAAGACTGATATTTAATAAAAACCATGAGTTTTTACTGCTTCATCAAAGACACTCCTAAGTGAAGGGGGCTTTTTTTTTTTTTTTTTTTTTGAGAAGGAGTCTCACAATCTTGGCTCACTGTAACCTTTGCCTCCCAGGTTCGAGTGATCTTCGTGCCTCAGCCTCCTGAGTAGCTGGGATTACAGGGATGCACTACCATGCCTGGCTAATTTTTGTATTTTTAGTAGAGATGGCCATGTTGGTCAGGCTGGTCTCGAACTCCCGACCTCAGGTGATCTGCCTGCCTCAGTCTCCCAAAGTGCTGAGATTATAGGCATGAGCCACCATGACCAACCCAAGTAACTTTTTTTTTTAATTAAAACTGTGAATATATGGTGAAGGGTATCATGACCACTAGGATAGTTTAGTGTCACTGCCTCGATTCATGCTAAGATGCTAGCAGTTTTACCCTTGCATTTCCACCATTAATGCAGAAAAAGGTGAATAATGTCTTAGCATTATGAAAACAGTTTGAGTCTCGGGCCTGTGGGCTCCCTGAAGAAGGAGTTCACATCCCCAGAGGCTAACATCATCCTTTATAAATTGCTGACATAAGCCAGCATTCCAGTCTTGTGGATATCAGAGGAAAAGCCTGCCATCATCCTAGAAGGAAAAGACATGGTGGGAAGTCAGCACCTGAACTTTGATTTACACGGTCCTCAGCATCTGGGATCCTTTCTGCTAACTGCATAAACATGCTCACTGTTGTCCTGGGGTGGAGCCAACTTTACAAAGGCAGAGGGCTGGGTGTTGAGTTTCTGAAACCATGCCCTAGTGGTTATTAGAAAACTCTTTGGCATTTTAAACTCCCATCTTCTTCTTGACATGGACATTTAATATTATGGAATCGACACCAAATGATGATGTCAGGCTTTTGGGTTGGGACACCATCTGTTGGCAGCCTGGCTTTGGAGCTTCTCCCGGTTGAATTTTACTGCCTCAAAGCAGAAGCGAAGGAGTAGTGCATTTGTTAAGGAGAAGATGCATGAATCTTCTACTGGACTTGCTTTCAGCAAACTTTTTTTTCAGGTCAGAATACTATATTCAGTGTTTAAGTATGAAATACTTCATATTTAAGCTAGACATGAAGCGCTTCGAGTAAGACTCGGCATTCATATTTTGACATTTGCAAATCACTGGGCCTGATAGTACCCTTCCTTTCTTTTGTTGTCAGCAATGGAAGAGTTAATAGTTGAACTTCGTCTCTTTCTTGAACTCCTGGACCATGAATATCTAACCTCAACTGTCAGGGAGAAAAAGGCAGTGATAACCAACATTCTGCTGAGGATACAGTCATCCAAAGGTGAGTCTCCTTCTGATGCCTGCTTTTTCTTCTTACAACGTCTTGGCTTCTAAATGGTCTTCAATTTTACCCTCTTTCTAAAATATATTTATTTGTTCTTTAACTTACATTATTTGTTCATCAGGGTTTAATTGAGGGTTTATACTTGTGCCAAGTTCTGTGTTGGCCTGCAGGTATAGAAACATAAAGCTTCGAAGGAGCTAATGGAATCATGTGTTGGGAGTCCCCAAGGCAACCCCCACCTTTGGAAGTCACCTGAAGGACTCCCTGGAGTCGGCATCAGGCTGTGCTTCCTCATGTGCAGGACGCCCTGCAGCCGCAGTGAGGACACACAGCCCGACTGGCGGATGGGAAGGGAGAAGACACAGGTAGAGCATGGAGGAAGCCGTGTGCCAGCTTCTTTGTGCTCTGTCACTCCCATAAGGGTCACACAGAGCACACTTTCCTCAGCGATAGAAACGCAGCCAGCTCTGTGTGACGTTTCTGTTCAGGCTCACCGGAGACTCAGTGCCCAAGGTTTTTACTTAGGTCTGGTCCTGTAGGCACCCTCTGTCTGGCACATACCAGAATTCTAGGAAAGGCAGGTTTTCAGCACAAACCATTTTTACACAAACAGAACAGGCACAGTGAACCAACCTTGTCCATTAGGGAGTGGTGGGAACACTTCTGAAATCCAGGTTCCCAGAGGCCAGCAGAGGGGCCAGCCTTGAAAGCAGGCCCCTCTCGAGAGAGTAGCCTTGGGCCCGTAATGTTAACTCTTTCCTGCACAGTGAGTAAGACAAAGAAACAGGAGCTGGGAAAGCCTGCTAAGTACTGCTGTGGAGAGCAGCAGAGCCTTAGGAGAGCACCTGAGAAAAGAGTCCGCATCAGCTGAGTGAGAGACCAGGGTGTTGGAGGGCCCAAGGGGCGATTCCTGGAGGATGTGATGTGAGAATCTTGAAGACTCTGTAGAGGTAGCTGGATGAGAGGGACGGACCTTTCTTTTAAACATCTTTCTTGAGATGTGATTCACAGGTCATATCTTCACCATTTAGAGTGTACAATTCATTTATACTTTGACATGCATTCTTTTAGTATATGAGGCCATGTATGACATGATTAGATGTGCATTCTGGAAAGCTCACCTGGTCCGTCTGGAAGATGGCCTGAAGGATTTGGTAGCAGTTTGAACATGGGTGGCGTGGGAAAACCTGGGTGAGTGATGGGGCCTGTCACTGAGATAAGAAAGCAGGATGGGGACCCTATTTTGGGGCAGTATGAAATAGTAACTTCTTTGTACTGTGTTGCACAGGCTGGAGTGCAGTGGTGTGCTCACTGCTCGCTGCAGCATTGACCTCGCAGGCTCAGGCGATCCTCCCACCTCAGCCTCCCTAATAGCTGGGACTGCATGTGTGCACAGCACAACACTCAGCTAGGTTTTTATATTTTTGTAGAGACGGTTTTGCCGTGTTGTCTAAGCTGGTCTCAAACTCCTGGGCTCAAGCAGTCTGACTGCCTCGGCATCCAAAAGGCATGAGCCACTGTGCCTGGCCTGAAACGTTCACTTTTGAAATAATTTTGTTATTTTCTCAAACTCTTTCATCGGTCAGCCTTTGCCTCTGGTCACAGTCCAGACTCCTTTGTCATTCTGCAAGGCCCTTTATCATATGTGGTAATGGGTATGAACGCTAACCTTAAACTGGCTTTTTATTCTGGCCCTGCCTGTTACCAAATGTGTAACCTTGCATGGGTTACTTACTCTTTTTTTTTTTTTTTTTTTTTGAGATGGAGTCTCACTCTGTCACGGCTGGAGTACAGTAGCATGATCTCAGCTCACTGCAGCCTCTGCCTCCTGGGTTCAAGGGATTCTCCTGCCTCAGCCTCCTGAGTAGCTGGGGCTACAGGTGCATCCCATTATACCCAGCTAATTTCTTATTTTTGGTAGATACGGGGTTTCACCATGTTGGCCAGGCTGGTCTCGAACTCCTGACCTCAGGTGATCTGCCCACCTTGGCATCCTGAAGTGCTGGGATTACAGGCGTGAGCCACTACACCCGGCCTACTTACTCTTTTTATACTTTAGCTTCCTCTTTGCATAAAAAGGGCTAATGGTAGTATTGACCTCATGGGATGTTGTGAGGATTGAATGAGATGATATAAAATATTTCAAAACAGTGCCTGATGCATGGTAAACATGTCAGCTGTTGATGACTGTTTGCTTTCCCCTGGTTTCCTGCCCCGCCCCGCCCCTCCCCTCCCCACCCCTCCTATCTTTCTTTCTTTCTTGCTTTCTCGCTTTCTTGCTTTTTTCTCTTGCTTTCTTTTTTCTTTCTTTCTCTATCATCTCTCCCTCCTTCCCTCCCTCCCTCCCTCCCTCCCTCCCTCCCTCCCTCCCTCCCTCCCTTCCTCTCTCCCTCCTCTCCTCCCCTCCCCTCCCCTCTCCTCTTCTCTCCTCTTTTATTTAAGCTGTTGGTTTCACCTGTAAAATGGAGAAGAATAAGAACAATACCTAACCCTGCAGGACTGTTGTTAAGGATTAGAGAAAATAAATATTTGCAAAGTGTTCAACACAGCGTTCAGGAACTGATAGCTGCTAGTGATCCCACCCTTGTCCCATCCCCCTCATCCAGTTCTGTGATTCTGGTTAACTCTTACAGGTTTTGACGTGAAGGACCATGCTCAGAAGCAGGAGACTGCCAACAGCCTGCCGGCCCCGCCTCAGATGCCCCTGCCGGAGATCCCTCAGCCATGGCTGGTGAGTCAAAGTCCCAGTTCCAGCGGTCACTGATGGAGGCCTGGGGGTACTTACGGGCTCCGGAGGCCCGTGATGGAAGCCCAGAGTGGAAGAAGGGAGCTCTTATTTTGCTTGAGGCACGCCCTTGAGTATATTTCTAGGGCTGAGAAGCTGTTAGTGACAGCTGGTTGGTAGATTCTTAAGTGTAGACTTCCCTTGGGAAGCTGGCATTTCTTTGCAGACAACAGGAGCTACGAGTCTGTAGACATCTTTTCTTACATCAGATTAAGAAAAACAAAATTTAGGGGATTTAGCAGATAAAAGTGTCTGTAGACCTTGCGGACTTGACCCACTTCTGAGTTAATTCTGAAGTTGAATACCTTATTCTGAAACTTTGATAGTCATTGTTAGACTTCTTCTGGGGTTAACTAAGAAGTCAGCTATCCATTTTTTTTTCCAAGAGAGAAAAATATGTACATATTTCAGGAATGTATACTTTAGTCTTATGCATTCAGATTCAAAATTTGTTGTTTTAAAAAGATCTGGCGAGGCTCACATATGCAACTTTTTATGTACCATTCAGCTTTTTCTATATTTTCCTGTTTTCTAACTTGTTTACTCAGGGAATTCAGAGTGTCATTCAAAGTTAGGGCAAAATCAGTTGCAATTCTCTTTCTATGTTTGCTTTCAGTATGAATCATCTGATGATCTCTCTGCCAGGATAGGAACTGTGGGCAGGCAGGGCTGTTGGTCATTCACCCCTGCTCTGCCTGGGCCTGGTACAGTGCTCAAGAGTCTTGGACTGCAGCAGGCACAGAGGGAAACAAGCACTTACCGGGTTCCTGCCACACGCCACCAGAAATCACAACTCATTGACTCCCACAGCTCAGCCTCAAAGAGCCCCTGCCACTCTTCTTATCTGGAGAGGCGTGTGTGCACCCATTTTTCCGGGAAGAAAGCTGAGACCCAGTGAAGGTGTGTGATTTGTTCAACATCATGTAGTAAGTAGAGAGGGCAGAGATTGCAACATTCATTTCAAATTTCTGCTTTTCTCAACGATACAAGTTCAGAGGTGTGGCAGCAAATTAGACGCAAGCTCGCCCCAGATCCAGGGAGGCCGCAGGCTGCAGGGGCAGTCCAGGAGCAAGGCCGCCTGCTTCCTGCCCTGGTGCCGCCCCAGACGCCTCGTGTGATTTGGGGAGATTAATGTAACCTCTGTGCCTCAGGATTATCCAGGAGATGGGAAGAGTGAATATGTCTCAAGTGCTTAGGATATATTTAAGTCCTGTGCTCTAATCACTTCTTAGAGCAGCACGTCTCAAACTTTAACCTTCAGCTAACCACCTGGGCATCTTAATGTGCAGGTTCTGGTTCACTAGGTGTGGATGAGGCCGTTGGTGCTACCCTTCTCCCCCACCTGCCCCCTCCTCCCCTCCTTCCCCCCCCACCCTCCCTTCCCTTCCCCTCCCACCCTATTTCCTTCCCTTCCCCCCTCCCACCCTCCCTTCCATTCCTCTCCTCCCACCCTCCCTTCCCTTCCTCCCCTCCCACCCTCCCTTCCCTTCCTCCCCTCCCACCTTCCCTTCCCTTCCTCCCCCTCACCCTCCCTTCCCTTCCCCCCTCCCACCCTCCCTTCCCTTCCTCCCCTCCCACCCTTCCTTCCCTTCCTTCTCTTCCTTCCCTTCCTCCCCTCCCTCCCTCCTTCCTTCCCTCTCTTCCTCCCTTCCTCCCTGCCCTCCCGCCTTTCCCTCTCTCTGTCCCTCCGTTGCCCTCCCCTCCGCTCCCCTGTCTTTCCTCTTTCCTCTGCTTTCTGCTTTCTTCTTTCCTCTTCATCCCTCCTCCCTCATTCCTCTTCTTCCCTCTTCCCTCTTTCCTTTCTCTTTTCTTGACAGGGTCTTGCTCTGTCACCCAGGCTGGAGTGCAGTGGCTCTTTCATAGCTTATTGCAGTCTCAACATCTTGGACTCAAGCAGTCCTCTCTCCTCAGCCTCCCAAGTACCTGGGATTGTGGGTGTGACCCACCCCGCCCGGCTCATTTGCTGTTTTTAGATATAATGTGATATTAAAGTCCAGAAGTATATGATTGTTAATTTAAAAGATGAAGAGCTAGATGGGAAATCAGTAGTTCCTCCATTTTCTGGCTTCATCTTCTGGTTTGTTTTCATTTTTCTTAGTAAGGTTGTCTGGAATCTCTGGCTTTCCTGTGATGGGTCTTATGTTTCATCTTCACATTCCATATTGGGAAAGCTGTTCTGAGATTGAGGGAGCACTGAGAACAATTAGAAGCAGCTGAGGTGGGACGAGGTGGCTGCCTGTCATCCCAGCCCTTTGAGAGGCCAAGGTGGGTGGATCGCCTGAGCTCAGGAGTTCAAGACTAGCCAGGGCAACATAGCAAAACCACTTCTCTACGGGAAATACAAAAATTAGCTGGTTATGGTAGTGTGCAGCTGTAGTCCCAGCTACTCGGGAGGCTGAGGTGGGAGGATCGCTTGATCCCGGGAGGTGCAGGTTGCCATAAGCCAAGATTGCACCACTGCGCTCTAGCCTGGATGACAGAGTGAAACTCTGTCTCAGAAAAACCAAAAACTAGCTGGGTGTGGTGGCTCATGCTTGTAATCCCAGCACTTTGGGAGGCCAAGGTGGGTGGATCACTTGAGGTCAGGGGTTCAAGACCAGCCTGGCCGACATGGTGAAACCCTATGTCTACTAAAACTACAAAATTAGCTGGGTGTGGTGTTGGGCACTTGTAATCCCAGCTATTCAGGAGGCTGAAGCAAGAGAATTGCTTGAACCCAGGAAGCAGAGATTGCAGTGAGCCAAGATCGAACCATTGCACTCCAGCCTAAGCCACAGAGTAAGACTCCCTCTCAAAAAAAACCCCAAACTAAAACGAAAGCAGCAGCTGGAAGAGTAGCAGTGGTCCTGTGACAGTCATGGACTCTTCTCTAGTGCTGCTGAGGTACCCTCCCACCGGCTCTGGACCAAACTGTATGTCCCTGACGTGCCAACTGGGTGGAGCGAAGGAATGCCAGTTTCAGGCGACGAGTTCTCCCGACTGGTCAACGTTTTCCCCCAGAGCCCGCCTCTGTGCTGTCCTCAGATGTAGTTCATTACTCACGATTCGTTCACCCTCTTTCTCCCTCCCTCGTCCTCTCTCCTCGTCTCCTGCTCCCCCCTGGCCTATGCTCTGCTCCTGCCTGTGGTAGCAAAATGACAAGCTAGACTGGGTTTCGGTACGTAAGAGGCTCTTCCACCGGTATAGTCCGAACTGGCCAATCAAAAATGCTGGTGAAAGTGAGAAAATTTTAAAAAGGTGCACATTAACGTGTGCCTTCAATACGCCAAGTTGACACGAACGATTGAAGTGTCGGAGTGACCACCGGTGTGAGCTGCCGTACCTAAATGAATACTTTTTGAGTAAAGTTTGCCAGCGGGTGATTTCTCCCTCCTGGTGCTTAGTGCATGGGTAGCAAGGTGATTTTCCCTGGATGTCTCAGCCGTGCTTACTTCCCAGAAAACCACTGTGTTTTGCTGTAAGCCAAGAGCCACATGCTTCGGTGTTGAGCTACTCATGGGCTCTGGCCCGTCTTTTCTGCGTACTCTATACCTGTGTTACACTGTGAGTAATTTCCAGTTTTTGTAACAATCTGAGCTTAGAATCCCTAGAATTTTATGCGTGTTGCCCTGTCTTTTTTTGGTTTGTTTTAAGAGACAGGGTGTCACTTTGTTGCCCAGGCTGAAGTGCAGTGGCACAGTCATAGCTCACTGCAACCTCGAATTCCTGCGCTCAAGCAATCCTCCTGCCTAGGCCTCCCAAAGTGCTAGAATTCCAGGCATGAGCCACTGTGCCCTGCCCAGTTTGTTTTGACTGAACCTTTCTACAGCATCTCAGAGAATCATCAGCTCGCCTTTTGCACTCATTTTTTTCATTGGTTTGTTATGTAATGATCAAATTCAAGTGAATAATTATAGTAATAAGAATTTAAAGAACATAGCTGACTCTTGGTGAATACACAACTCAACAGGTGGGACGGTTTTTGTAGACACCCAGAGAGGAGCCTGCAGCCATGAATGTTTGGCATCTTAGGGATATCAGGGTGTTTTACAGGAGAACAGAGCAGCTGTCAACTCCGTGAGTCAGGGAGGTGGGGCTTGGTTAAGATAGCTCGGCTGTAGTTTTCTGATAGTTTTTTAGTGAATTTGGGATTTAGCAAGGCAGCTAGTCACTAAGTACATTCAGTTTGCCTTTAACGAATTGACTTTTGGCCAGTTGGTCATTTTGCTATTGGTGAATTGATTCAAGAGAATTTGCTTATAATGAGGTCAAGATGGAACGGGTAGGCAGCTGTGCCAGGCAGAGAGTGTGCTGTAAATTAAAGCACAAGCCAGAGAAACAGCCAGTTACACCAGGAGCATTGCAGGTAGCTCTGCCTTGCTGGATAATGGGATTTGGGCAGGAAATCCACAGCTGAGGCCGGAATTCTCTGCAGGGGCTGAATTACAAAGGACCTGTGTGTTGTGATGAGAAGTTGGGAATTGTGTGAGAGCAGCAGCAAACCATTGAAGGACTGTTAGTGTCCGACTGACTGCAGCTAGGTCCTGGTTCTCATGCAGTGACCCACAGCTGCACTTGCTTTTTCCTGTTTTGTGGCGTGAATTGAATATTGCCTTCTGTCATGGTGTTTTGTATTATAAACTCTTTAACAAACAGGTTATCTTTTACCTTGTTATCCTTTTAGTGTGTAATACAACCCGTATTCAATAGTTTATAATAAAGACTGAGGTGCCCTGTGTGACTTAGTGCTTCTTCCTGCCTGGCTCATGTGTCCTCGGAAGTGCTCACAAGAGATGAGATGTGTGTGTAGTGTGGAAGTCTAGAACTTCCAAACCTTGGAAGTCACAAGTGTGGGCTGTAGCATGTTTTATACTCTGCTTTCTCTCCCTGGCTTTTCAAGGGCAGACTCAGATAGACTAAAATATGCATCTATTCAGAAAACGGTTTGTGGGAGAGCTGGCTGTGCT